TTGAGACCTGCAAATAGAATGTTAAGCCTCACGTGTTTTTGCATGCCGGTTTGTTTGTATGTCTTGCTCTACCACTCACTGAGTTTACAGACCCTATTGTCAGGGAGCAGAGAATGAGAATGAAGACTGTGGGGCAGAAATCTGAAAACAGGGCCTGTCAGTGGCTTGCAGATGTCAGTTCCATAGAGTAGCAAGACGGGCTTTCCCGAGGGATAGAAGGGAGATGAGCAGAGGGAGAGAATCCAGAGGACTCCAGCTAGTGGTGTAGAATTCCCATTTTTTGGCTGGAAAAGTCTGCATTGCTGATGCTGTTCCAAAATGATTCTGATGGAGCACAGCAGTGGTGGGAATTTTGTAGCTGCCCCATTTTGGTCTTCTTGTCAGAAGTGGATGCCAGAGGTTTTGGAAGAAGCTGCTAAAGTGGGCTTTTTGCCTTTGTCCAATGAGGGAGGACTTAGATTTTCCTTTTTTCTCCTCATTCTTGGTACAGGTGGTATAGTTATTTTAAGGAAGTGATATGATGCAGTGAAAATGGGCAACTCTTTTTATTTTTCAGCTTAATGAAAAAAAGAAAAAGGAGGAGGAGAGATTCCAGCTAGCCAGCTTTGTGCTAATTCTTATCTGTTTTGGATTTTAAATGTGTCCCATGACACTGAGATGGGATAAATATTTCAGCCACTAGAAAGCCCTGCTGTTGGGTTAAAAAGATTTCTAACCTCTTTTAAAGCAGGCAGAGTAGTAATTTACTTGGACAAGTCCAGGCACCCTTATGTCCCCCAATTTTAATCACATGTGTACACATCCCACTCACATACTCACATAAGGGGATGGGGCAAGGGTGAAACTTCTGAGAAAAAGTCAGGGGGTAGGGAATAAGTTAGTAATGCAACACTTGGTTTTCAGATGGTCACAGATGTTATCGGGAACCATGGAGTAACAACAGGTGCCTGAGATACAGCTAAATGACACAGGGCTTCTCTGCCTTCAGGGAGCATTCCATGTTGTGGGCAGACCTGAAAGCATAAATTAAGATAAAGGAAAACACAGGAATTGACCAAGATTGAAAGATAAGGGAACCAGCTTTAGCTTGGGTGTCCATGCAGGGACCCAGAGCTACTGACTTAAACTGGGGTGTAAAGGGCCTGCATTAGCAGGCTGGATTAGACTGCTGGAGTTCTTGGAGCTTATACAACGGGAGCTGATTGGCTCACAGCTTTGGAGATGGGGAGCCTGAGATCAAGACGGTGGTGTTGGTTTCTTTTGGGGCCTCTGTCCTGGCTTCTAAATGGTGTCTGTCTCTTCCCTGTGTGTGTTCACCCGGTCTTCCCTCTGTGCCTGTTGGTGTCTTAATATTTCTCATAAGGACATCAGTCATACTGAGCTAGAGACCACTCTGATGACCTTTCCTATCCTTTCACTTCCTTGCCTCTCTACAGGTCCTGTCTCTCAATAGGAAGTAATGGGGCTTAGGATTTTCACATATACATTTTGGGGGCATGAAATCAAGAATAGTGAGAGGTCCACAAGCAGCATGTTTGGAGGCCTCAACAGCAAAGGAAGACATTGATATGATCAAGGAAAACGTTGCAGAAGAAGTTGCAGAAATGGGCAGGGTTGGATCAAGCTGGACTTTGCAAACGATGACCAGAGTTTTAGGTTTCTCCTAAGGGCACAGCGAAACTATCAGTTACATTAAAAAAAAAAAAATCTGTCTGTGTGAAGAGGAGCTGGAAGGATGAGAAGTAGCAATCAGCATGTTAGTTAAAGCGAGATGTTTCCCTTCCTCCAGTGCTGTTGACATTTGGGGCTGAGTGAGTCTGCTGTGGGGCCATCCTGTGCTCTGTAGGGCGCTCAGCAGCATTCTTGGCCTTTACCTCCTGAATGCGAGTCCCACCTCATCCCATCATGACTACTGGAAATGGTGCCTTAGATTGAGTGGTACCAGTTTAGTGAGGCAAATTAGATGGCATTGAGGAAAAGTTTTGAAGACAGAATTAACTAGATTGAACTTCTCTTTGCTTGGTTTTCTCTAATGTTTTTAAGTTGGATGGGGTTGTCACTTCCCTGAAGCACCAGGCTGCACACCTCTGCATGCATAATGGAGTTGCTCAGAAGCCTGGAAAGAATTCGCCATTCTGTTATCACTCAGTGGGCAGGGCCACCTGTGTGTAACGGACATAGTATTTAGTCTTTGCGTCCTCCCATTCATTTGTCAAGTGCATGTGCTCGGCAGCCTTATTGACTCTCAGAGCAAACACTTTGCAGTCTAATCGGGCCAATTTTCTGGCTCCGGAAATCTGTTTATCAGAACAAGATATCACAGTTGTAGTGACTTTTCCAGGGCTTTGCCTTCCAGGAGCTTAGCTCTACAAAAGCAAGCGTCAGTGATTTCCAAGCAAAACAGAGTGTCAGTTCTGCATTCCATAGCCCCAAAGAGTTCCCTGCTTGCCGGTGGTGACGCCCGGAGCAGTTGTTCTGGAACAGCTGGAGTGTGTGGGTGTCCTGGGCAGAGCACTTGGTGTCTGGCTCAGATTCTGCACCTGGCTGTCCTTTCTAGGCCCCTCCCTGTTATACCGACTCCAACATCATGGCAGCATTTGCCTGGAAATAGTGAAGCATTTGCTGTTCATCTTGGGGTTGATGGTGACTCTGGAATCATTTCGGAGGGAGTCTGATAATTGATTACTGATGTCTGATTGGGTTTGTAGAATTGGAGAAATGGTAGTGCAATACATTTGCAGTTCCTAAGAGTTAGAGTTGCATGCTTTTCTGATGGAGACCCTTCACCTGCTGGAGTGGGCCTTCCTGCCCACTCTTCTGCCCATCTCTTAACTGACACTGATTCCTAGGCCTGTGGAGCCTTCCCTTTTGTGTCTGTGTGTCCATCAACCTCCGCTGTAAATGCTACCTCTCTCCTGGAGTCAGTCTTGATTCTCTTGAATTTTGACTAGTGAGCGCTGGGCAGACTTCGACGGCTTTTTAAAGTAATGAAATGTCACGATCGATGTGCTGTTTAGAAAGATCTTTCTGGTCATGAGAAGGGAGAATGAATTGGAATAGGGCAAGATGGGAGGCAGGGAGACCAAGCTGGCAGGTTGTGGCAGACCGTACCGTCACTTAGAGGTGGCAGCCACTTGAATTAAAGTTGGTGCTGTAGTGATAGAGACTTGATGACCAGCCATTTGTAGGGGTGACGGAGTAAGAAGGAACCAGAGAGATTTCTAAGGTTCTGACATGAGTGGTGGGGCGGAACAGAGCCCCTTGCTGTAGCTCCTCTTCTCAGTCCTCCAGGGAGTTGTGTGTGTCGGCTCACTTCAGCAGGACGCCCTGCGTGTGTGCTGCAGATCAGCCTAGCACGGCAGATGGTCTACCAGGAATATCCGTGACATGAGTGCTAGCGTGATGCTGTTTTCCTGTGTCTGTTCCCATTGGCCATTGCCTGCTTGTTCCAGTTATAAATTATTTTTAGTATCACCCTGATAGTAGCATCAGACTATATTCTTCTCTGTACTTGGAGAAGCCAAGGAATACTCCAGAGGGAAGGCCATGGAGAAGTTGCTCACCGAAGGATATATAGGGATTTTCTAGGAGACCCAGTGAGTGAAAGGGTTTCCTGGGGAGAAGAACTGGAAGATGGAAAGGATAGTGGCAAGAAAGGGATGTGATGAGGGGTTTTGAATATTGAGATTTAAACATGCTTCTACATGGCAAATCTTGAGAAAGAAGAGACTGGACTCCTCATGTTCTCTTACCCCCAGGCAGGCTTCTTTCTTTCTTTCTTTCTTTCTTTCTTTCTTTCTGTCTGTCTGTCTGTCTGTCTGTCTTTCTGTCTGTCTGTCTGTCTCTCTCTCTCTCTCTCTCTCTCTCTCTTTCTTTCTTTTTGTACTGGGGATTGAACTCACTACCTTGCTCTTGCCAGGCAGTTGCTTATGCCACTGAGCTAAATCCCCGGCCCTAGAAGCTCATTTCCTATTACAGCTCTGGCAGGAAAACCTTTAGTATGTATGTGTATCTTTCCACCTGAAGGAAGGTGAGGTGTCCTAGCTGTGCTTCTCTCGGACATATTACAAGTGTCTGGTCAATAATACCCAATAAATGCTTATTAAATGACTCAGAAGGGAGCCCTGGAGCTATGTGTACCAAGGGACTGGTCTTTTCTTTCCTCCTTTTCCCCTAAGATAATTTTATTTCCAAGTGGTTTCTTATCTCCTAGACGTTGACCATATTGGCTCAGGCTGACCCAGGAAGATCTGCTCCCAGAATTCAGAGGGGCTGCACTCAGCACTTGCCCCCAACTTGCCAACATCCCGGCTTCCTCTGTTTGCTTCCCTGACCCAGGGCAGTTTGGGTGGGGACCTTGGTACCTTATGACTCTGTTCTGTGCTATAACAGTGAACCTGAACCTTGGAGTTTGATTGTAAACCTTGGAAACTGGGCAGACAAGGGAGGGCTGAGGGGAGCCTCTTGGGGGTTGAAGGCCAGAGTTTCAAGTTTCATTTCGGCCTTTCCTCCTCATGAGGTCAGTTTGTAGATTTGGGCATCCTGTTTCCTCCAGTGAAATGATCTCCAGGTGTTCCTGCCAACTTGACCCAAATTCTGGGGCTTTGTGCTTGTGGGGGCTGCAAGTTTGTAGCCTGGAAGGATCCTTCTGTTTTTGCTGGGTGAGATGTTGGGAGTTCAGGTCTGCACGTTGTTCTGGAACTTTAATTTTTACCCGTTTTAGAAAAGAACATTTGGGTTTTATACCTGATTCTTTTGGTAGGAAAAACCCATCAGTTAGTGACACCTGTCTTGTGACAGGCACCAAGTGCCTTCCTCATGTTTTTCCAGTTCGCCCTCTTAGGATCCCTGGGAGGGGGCTGGGACAGATCATTAGTTCATTTGGCAGTTGAGGAAACTGAGGCTCAGAGGGGCAGAAGCAACTGCTGGGGTCTCCCCTGTGCCTTTGCAGCTGGGTGGCAGATATGGCACCTCCTGACCCTTGTCCCCTCTTCCTCCAGAGAGCCAGCTGCTCCCCGGAAACAACTTCACCAACGAGTGCAACATTCCAGGCAACTTCATGTGTGGCAACGGGCGCTGCATCCCGGGCTCCTGGCAGTGCGACGGGCTGCCTGACTGCTTTGACAAGAGCGATGAGAAGGAGTGCCGTGAGTGCCGGGCTACAAGTGGGGTGAAGCGGGCGTGATCCGGGGTGAAGGCAGGAAGCCCTGATGTGGCTTCCACCCTGCGCACTGTGCATTGCATGCTTGAGGGCTTGGGCCTCTATCCAGCAGTCTTGGCCTGTCCACTCGGTCCCTGTGGCCCAGGGTACCATGATCTGTGCAGAAATGGGTCTCGATGGTAGGAGAGTGGAGCATTCTGCTGTCAGACTCCGCTCCCTGGGGTGCTGCTGTCACCTGCACTTACATACGAGCCATCTGAGAATCCCTGAGGTCACCTAGCTACAATGTCTCACAGCAAGCAAGCAGCATGCTTGGCATTGAAACTAGGGCTCTCCATGCTGTTCGCCACCTCGCTTGTGGTACTCTTGCTGTTTCTTGGCAATTCAGGGAGGGACAGCGCCATGTCAAGTATCCAGCGTGAAGTGGGGGCTTCCCCAACCTTTCTTTGCTGCTAGACACAATCTGAGGCTTCACCAAGACATCCTCTTCAAATGGGCACCACCAGGGTCTGGTAGTCCTTATGATCCTCTCTCCCTACCTCTTACCAGTTTTGTGACTTTGAAACATGCAAGAGATTCAGATCGGGGATCATTCATAAGAAGGGGCACCTGCATGTGAGCTGGGGACTTGGGGTGTCAGGTGACCACACTCCTTGACCCATGGAGTCAGCTCCTGTCCCCTGGCCCCCTGTTGGTCTCTGCAGAGTGAGCTTGGCTATGGGTTATCCTTCTGGGCACCTGGCAGGTGGGAAGCACAGGCTTATTGATGGGTGACTGCCTTGGGCCACATGATGGGAGAGTGGCTATTGGCTCCTTCATGCACTGTGGGAACCAGGCCAGTGGCCTCTCTGACAGGAGGACTCTGAGTTCTGGCTCTGAACCTGATGTCTCTCTGGAAGGCAGCTGAGGAAGTGGCTGAGAATAAGATAAGGACTTGAACTTTTAGCATAGCCGTTATGGGGATCGGAGACCCCATCTGATGATGCACAGGAAAGAGCACTGGCTTGGAGCCCACCCACAGGAGCCAGCTCTTCTTCCCATCTGATCTGGTTGGAAAGGTAACTGACTGCTCCTGGACTGGGCCTTGCCTGACAGAGGGACCTGTTCCTGGTCCTCAGGGAAGATTGGAGGATGGCAGTTTTTTGGGGAATAATATTCCATTTTGCCTATCTCATGTAGTGTTTCTGAATAGACTATTAGACATAATGCTTTTTATTTGTTTCTTCTCTTTTTCTTTTTCTTCTTTTGCAGAATTTCTTTTGGAAAATAATTTTTCCCCGTTTCCAACATGGCTTCAAAACTACTAGGAATTTCACATTTCTCTTTTGAATTTCAGACGAGCCTTGCTAGTCCTTGTCTAGTTTTAAGGGTTACTAAACATTCTAGAAGTACTGTATGTGGACCTGGCACTTTCAGGACAAGCTGTGTTTCTGAACTCCAGGTAGTGGGACTGTTACTAGCTAACGGGGAGTATTTGTCCCGGGAAAAGTTTCTGAAGGAATGCAGGCTGCAGAGTCAGGCTGAGGTTGCATTCCCAAGTCTGTCTACAACAGCTATGTGATATCAGTGACTTCTCTAACGGTCTCTGTCCCCTGTCAATACAGTCCTGTCATTTCAGAATTCCTCATTAAACTGGAAGAGGTAACAGACGGAGAATGTTAAAAAAAGAGATGGTGCCCACAGCTTCCTGGAGCTGTTTGGTTTTGTTGAATACAGGCTCCCTCTTGGCTATCTTCAGCCTGTCACATGCCCCTGAGGGTGGTAGAAACTTGATTGACATTTCTTTCTTACCTTTGATCAATGCATCATTTAAAAAAATAAATGATCCTTACATACAAATACATGCACTGATCTCCTCTGTCGCTCCCTCACTTTTTTGTTTAAATTGTAAAGCCAGAACACTGGAAAGGTTAAACAATCTAAGGAAACGAAAAAGTCCCTTTTCTAACTGAAATTCTATTTTCATTTTAAATCTTCCCCATTCCATTCTGGAAGGTGATAGTATAAGCCACAGAGAAAGACTGGCTGTGTCTTTTCTCTGTGTTTAGGTGGCTGAGTGTGCTTGGGAAAGTTTCCAGAATGTTCTGAACCTTAGCCATTGAAAGCGTTGACCAGTTCCCTAGGATCTCAATTTCCTCTTCTCCAAAATGGCAACAGTTCAGCATTGTTGTGAATGAAAATTTAACATGCACAATGTGTGCATCATCGTGTCTGCATACAGCCCAGTGAGTGGCTAGTAAAGATGAACTCTCACTGGTCACCTGTACCAATTATGTTATGTGGCTGTCTGTATCAGGATGGAGGATAGCATTGCCTGCTTTTTTCTACTTAACGTTAGAGGCCCTTGGCCACCTTGCCGTGTTTTGTGTTCAGAATTGTTGTTCTGTGGGATTGGCCCATGCTCCATCACAGAGATGCCCTGGAATTTAAACATCCCATTATCACTTTGATCTCTTTTCATTTTATTACGTCTAAAAAACAAACAGTTGGTCTCTGCAGCTTCCTGGAGTGATCCCAGCATTCAGGAGCATTTCGGGAACTTGCTCATGCCTGGACCACAGAAGGATGGAGGTTTCAGCTGGAGTCGGGCAAGGAGGCTTAGGCTAAAACCTCTTTGCAAGGATGCTGTGGTGGCAGAAGTAGAATTCATGCCACCTTCGAAGGAGGTAGACAGGCCCTGTGTCTTACTCTGGAGTCACAAAGCCTTTTCTCTGATTTTTCTTTTGCTCAAGTTGGTGTTTCTGGGCATCAGGGTGAAAGTGGCCAGTGTTCTCACCTCAGAGGGGTGATTACATTGTGCCTTAGAGAGAGAGAGAGAGAGAGAGAGAGAGAGAGAACAAACTGGCTCTTCTTTAAAGTGTAGGGAAGAGCTGGGAGAAGTGTCTCTTGGCGGGATGTGAGCCAGGGAGCAGCTCTTTTACATCTACACAGACAAAAGGTTTTCAGAAGCTAGGAAGACTTTTTATCATAAGATAATAAAACTACATATTGTACAGATTAAGGGGAAGGGCCAGAGATACAGCTTAGCAGCACAGTGCTTCTCTGGCAAGCACGAGGTCCTGAGTTTGATTGATTCCTGGTACCAAAACAACAACAACAACAACAACAAAGAAAGATATAAATCAAGGGGAAGGAAGGAGAAAAACAGGCATCGCACAGAGTCTGTATTCCAGCAGATATTGCAAGTGTTCATTCTGGCTTTTTCCCAGGTGCAATTACCATGGCTGTTCAGTTTTTACATTTCAGTTTTTTCCATGTAACATTTCAACATGTGAACATTTATTCTGTTTTTAAAATTTTCTGTCACTTTTAATGCCTAGATAATAGGCCATTAATTTGGTACACTCTAATTCATCTATCATGCTACTATTTATTACTCAGTGTTCATCTTTTATCCCCTCCTGCTGTGCTGGCAACAGAAGCCAGGGCCTTTTGCAGGGCAGGCAAGGGCTCACCACAGAGCTCTACCCATCTGGGTTCCAAGTTTCTACTATTGGAAATAATGTTCACTATTGTAAATGTGAGGGCGGACCTGACTTTCCCCATTTTGAGAGCAGTCCTTAGGCTGAATTCTCAGAAATGAGAGGCCTGGGCCCAGGACTGGGAGCTGTTTTCTGGCTGTGCACACAAACTACCCACTTGTTTTGCTAAAGAGCTGCACCCGTTTGCCTTCCCTGGCAACTCGTGAAAACTGGGACTTTATTTTAGGCTTGGCAATGCTGAGTAACATATTTAGGAAAACATTTTTTTTCAGGTTAATTTAATAGCTGAAAACCATTCAAGTATTTTAATTTTCTATGTTTTAAAAAAAAATTAAGAAGGCTAAATTTTTCCCCATACCTCTGTTTGCTAGTTGTATTTCCTTTTGAAATACCTATTAATGGACCACAATTAATATTCAACTAGGTTAACATTTTAAATTTTCTGTCTTGTGCGTCTAGGGAACTTCTCTCTTAAAGTTTTGAAAAGAGAAGCATGTTAGGACATTTTGGTTCTTGGTTAGTAAACTGACCTAAGTAATCATTTTACCCAAATCTCCTTCCCTCTCTCCTTCTGCCTTTCCCTCTTCCCTTCCTGTCTGTCTGGTCCTTTGCTTCCTTCACATTCTCTCCCTTCCCTTCTCCTTTCCTTCCCTCTTATCTTTATCTTATAAAAGGAATGAAGACATGTTTTAGAAAAATGTTGATGTTGCATGAAAGCAGATTGTGAGGCTGGTGATCTTGTGTACCTACTTGAGCTCCACGTGGGCCACTCCGTCCCAGGACTTCACTTTAACTCACTAGACTGCCCTAAGACCTCTATTGGGAAGGAACTGTTGTCATCTCTAGATGAGGAAACTGAGCCACAGAGTGATTATACATTTGCTTCTAGACCCAGAAAATAAGTCTCCCTGACCATTCTCGGTCAGAGGCCGCTGGGGAGTCTTTTAGTCTTTCTCCACAGCCATCTGTTACCCTGCTGGAAAGGATCATGTGAGTTAGTGAGTTAATCTTTCTATACTAGTATATTATGACTGTGCGAGTCAGTTTTCCATTGCAGTAACTGACACCTGAGGTAATCAGCTTATAAAGAGAAGAGGTTCATTTTGGCTCACAGTTTTAGAGGTTTTAGTCTGTCTTGGTTACTTTTCTTTTGTTGCTGAGACAAAATACCCGACTCCCAAAATGAAAGAAGGAGAGTTAATTAGCTCACAGTTTTTGGAAGGTTCAGCCCCTACTCAGCTGGCTCCAAGACAAGGTGGTGTGGCTGAGGGGCAACTGTTCATAGTGACTGCAAGCAACAAGAGCAAAAAGGGTAAAAGGGAAAAGCACACCCCCTGGCACCCACCTGAGTGCGTGCAGCACTCACACCACCAGTCCCAGTGCTGGACAAGGAACCAATCACAAATGCTAGACTTGGCCACTTTCGTGACTGTGGAGGGCTTTGGGGGACACCCAGACACAAACCATAGCAGTCCATGATATGTTGCCCTTTTGCTTTGGACCT